TGTGATAACTCAGTCTCCTGCCATAAAACATATCCAAACTTTTAACTTTTCCTGAAGAAGCTTCTGTAGGGAACAAGCATTTGCTAATTTATCATTTAAATAAGGAAAATATTATCAGACACTGCTTGAAAAGTTCACCTTTTAAAACATTTTTATTATGCCATATAAAAACATAGAAAGATGACTGTGATAAAAACCAATGAATATATTACCAAGGTTAAGAAATAAAACAGTTGAGTGATCTTTCATTTATGACTAAATTAATTTACTAAGCATTAAACTTTTGGATTATTCCACTCAAGGTATTTCATCAGGAAGAAGGCCAGTAGGGACATTATCAGTTTTCCTAATGCAAAGGAGCTAATGCTTAGATATTTTTTCTCTCTACATTTTCTTCCTTTTGGAACTTGTAAAGATCTTATACTGTCCTCCTCTTTCAGCTTATAAATGCACTGACAATGATATTGCATACTGCAAATCCACACATCTTATTTACTGGAGTGAAAGAGTAGAGGACACTTCTGTATCGGAGATGAACGATAACACGGTGTTATCATTTACAGATAATTATAGAAGATTTTATTATTATTTATTTAACCTGATCTTTAGGGATTCTAGTTCCTTATCGATTTATCATATTTGTTTTAATCACAGCAGAGAAAACACCCAATATTGAATAACTTTGATTTATAAGATTTCTTAGCAACATATTGTGCTATGTATACTATGTAGATACTAAATGAATATGTGGACATTTTCTGTGTGCTACATCAGAGTTCAGTAGTATTCTTTCTTAGAGATATTTAAAAATACGAAGTCAATCATCTTAAATATATTACCACTAACACCCAGTATCTACTACTGCCATCAACATTTGCACAGAGTTTGGCTAATGTTAGGTACATGGTAGTGTTTTCTCATACATCAGTCTCAGAGAACTGTCGCCCGTAGTGTCAGGATGCAAACAGTTACTCATTTTTGTGGTGTTATTTTAGTTCAGTTTAACAAAGATATTACTGAGCACCTACAACATGCTGGGCACTAAGCCAGACACATTGCTGAGCCACTTGTGAGTGCTCTGCTTGATGAGTCTAGTCAGAGAATCACTCTTTACCCAGAATGAATGATTTTGCATTTAAACACTCTACAGTCAGTTGTTACTGAATACAATCTGTAAAGGCACAGACTGATGTTTTAAATAGAAAGGATGCTTGAGACAGAACATAACGACGAAACCTAAAGGGAGTATGATTTTGGTGTGTGGTTGGTAGGATCACTATAGTGTAATGTGACTTAAACCTTGGATCAATCTATACTTACTTCAGTTTTTTAAGTGTAAGTGATGTCTTCTTTCTTATGACTGTACTGTTTAGATTTACATATTAAAAAATGGATCAAGTGTGCCTGGGTGGCTCAGCTGGTTAAGCGTCTGACTCTTGATTTCGGCTCAAGTCATGATCTCATGGCTCGTGGGATCCAGCCCCGTGTCGGGTTTGGTGCTAACAGTGCAGAACCTGCTTGAGATTCTCTCTCTTTCTGCCCCTCCCCTGCTTATGCATGTTCTCCCTCAAAAATAATTTATTTTAAAAAGAAAAAAAATGGATCACAAAGATACTAGTAACACATATGTATGTGTGTGTGTGTATATATATGCATATTTATACATATATGTACAAACACACACACATATACACATATGTATATATGTATATATGTGTACATATGTGTGGGTACATCTGTATGCATGTAAATGTGTATTTTATTATTGGGATTAGGAATTCTTTTCCCTTTGTGGAATTTCTTGTAAAGAATTCAATATTTAAGAGAACTGGAGTATTACTTCCCTCACCACAATAATACCATCATATTCTATTAAGTGAGCTGTCACAAATCATAATGCTCATTTAAAAGCATTTATTAAATAAACCAGGTAGGGGCGTCTGGGTGGCTCAGTGAGTTAAGCTTCTGACTTTGGCTCAGGTCCTGATCTCGTGGTTTGTGGGTTTGAGCCCCGTGCTGGGCTCTGTGCTGACAGCTCGGAGCCTGGAGCCTGCTTCAGATTCTGTGTCTCCTCCCTCTCTGTCCCTTTCCTGCTCATGTTCTGTCTGACTGTCACTCTCTCTCTCTCTCTCTCTCAAAAATAAATAAATATGTTAAAAAATTAAATAAGCTAGGTAAGGATGTGGTTTCCCTTCATTCTCTGGGGTTTGTATAACATTGTGGGAGGAACACAAACACTCAGCTACATACCGTAATGTCTGTGTCCAGCGATTTGGGAGGACTGTGGATACTGCGGTTTCTGCAGGGGCAGATATGCTTTCTGCTTCTTTTTGACATTATCATCTAGCCAGCTGTCTTGGGTAACTTGAGCGTGCCATCCCCATCTCTGCCTACTTTAAGCCTCACGCACCTAAAAGAGATAGTGTTTTGAATCCGAGTTCTCTAACTGTCCCTCCTTTCCCAAGAAAGTTATGAGTCTGAGGAAAGCAGGTTTAAGGAAGGAGAGGGAGAGGATGATGAGCATTTCTTTCTGACGCCGGCCTTGTGCATTCTTACGAGAAGGTGCAGTAAGTCCCTGGCGTGCAGCAGGAAAGAGAGTAGCTGGGAATAGGGAAATAGGATTAATTTCTGTGTCATAATTTTGTAGCGTGGTTTCGCTTTTTAACAAAGTATCTCAACTTCCCGGAATAAACCAGAACCAACTTGAAATACATGTAATAAGATAGAAACACTTTGTCAAGGAAACAGAATTCCTAAAAACCATCTACCACTTGGAATTACTAACCCCACTCCCCACACCCCAGTCCCCCTTAGACTGGGCAGCCAAAATGGATACTTAGGCGCCGCATGGGCCTGTGCAGGTCTCCTTGCTTGTAAATTAATTTTGTTAAATGCTACAAGGCTTCAAGGAGAGTATAGAGTGCACCGAGCTGGCTGCACTTACCCCGGTCTGAGGTCTGGTTGTGGAGCTGTACTTACCTGAGAGTCAGTGCATCTTCAGGTTGTGAGGAGACGATCGTAACACATGAGAAGAGCAGAGCAAACCACGGGGAATGAGCACGTCTAACATTCAGGGTTAACAATCAGACAAAAGTTAAAGCGATGTGGACACATGTTTTTGGTTTACACAACTACTATTGTGTTGTGTGCTTCTTAGTAACAATGGTAAGCAGCAGTGGACATAACCAATATAGAAAAATGGCTTTTGAGACCCTTGTGGAGACCCTCGATCCATAGAGAGGCCAAATCTTTTCTTTCTGGTGCAGGGGCCTGGATGAGGGAGGGCTCTGCTAACGATTCCGGGACCAGGACTGAGATGTCAAGTCTCACCAGACTTAAAGAGCAGCTCTCTGGGTGCCTGGGTGGCTCAGTCGACTGAGCGTCTGACTCTTGATTTCGGCTCAGGTCATGATCTCACAGTTCATGGGATCAAGCCACACGTCAGGCTCTGCACTGTCGCAGAGCCTGCTTCAGATTCTCTCTCTACCTCTCTTTCTGCCCCTCTCCTGCTCTCTGGCTTGCACATGCTGTCTCTCTCTCTCTCTCTCTTCTCTCTGCCCCTCCCCCTGCTTGCAAGTACACACACTCTCTCTCAAACTAAAGACATAAACATTAAAAAAAAGAAGAAGAAAGAGCAGCTCTCTTATGCACCCAAGTTGCCCCACTGCACTCAAGAGCTAATGTTGAGGGAAGTGAAAATAAGGCTGACAAGAGGTGGTGAGAGGGAAGAGCTGGGGCAGCCCAGTGGCTGGGAACCCACCAGTGCTCCTTCCTGATCTGCTTCTGCAGGGCTGCTCTCCCAGGAGGGTGCTGAGGGGTGTGATGCAAAGGAAGGCTCCCTATCCAAGCATTTCTGCGGGCACCCCATAAACAGGGAGTGTACTTGCTTAGTCAGAAAATACCATTGAAGGCACAGAGGAGGAGTATCAATTAGTCACTTCTAGGTGTGAATTAATGCCCTTATTTGCTTTTTCTGGACTCCTACCTAGATGGGGTAAAGCACAGGACACCATAACAGAGGATGTGATCAAAACTATATTAAGTGGCTTTAGGCAGCCAGGTGGAAAAGGAGAGCAATGGGCCCCCAGGAGATGGAGGAAAAAGGCATTGGGTCAAGAGGGACCAGAGGGGTCAGGAAAATGTGATAAGGGAATAAGGAAAAGAAGGTGGCAGGAGAGTAATAGAAAGAGTGTGGGTGTGACCTGTGGGCCTTGACTCATGCTTTGCAAAGTCAAAGGGCATGCAAGGCTTTTGTGATGGGCTTTGTGAACTCCAGTGGCAAAGGAATCTACAGCAGTCAAACTTATACATGAGACAGACAGAGGCTTCAGACGTCAGTTTCTTCATTTATACACAATAGGAGCTATACATTTCTGAGCAGTCAGCCCCCAACAAGGTCTTCCTTCAAATGGGGGATGTTGTGTGTAATGCTACTGATGCACACGTGACAAATCTCTCCTGCGAAGCCTCTTTGCTTCTTGGTATTCTGTGGTCTGTTGTTTCCTGTTGACAGCCTAGTCCTGCTCTCAGCATTTCCTTTATTCTTACTTGATCACAGAACACCCATTTCACTAATCCACTCTAATAAGTATATATATTTTTTTCCATCTGAGAAACAATGTAGCTTAATTAAGGCTATCATGGATCAAAGAAACTTTGGGGCCTATTTTTTTTGCTGGGGGGGGGATGGTGATTAGACTTGTTTTTTGACATTCTAGGCTTTAGGGCAGAGTCAAAGCTGTGTATTTATGAAGCCATAGTCTCCTGACCTCATCCAATTTTAACCACAATAAAGCATTTATATATGGTACCATATCTGTTACTGGCCCTTTTTAAGTCACTAAGGAGAGACACATGGATAAGACTTTACTCTTCAGAAATCCCATAGTACAAAATGAGTTTGGTTTTACGTGCCCTAATCTACACTGTATCCTATGCTTTCTCTCTTACTGTAGGACACACATAGCTCATCACCAAGAAAAACCGCACAGGAGAATCAGTGTATTTCACGATCTGCATAAACTTTTTAATGTAATTTAAGAAAACTACGAGCGCTAAACATGACAGTTCAAAGAGAACAGAAATTCAGAATGTAAGGTGTTACTAAAGTTCCAAAAAGGCATCGCTCTCAGGTGTCTCACTAGAACACGGTCTGATGTCCCGAATTAACATACGTTGTATTTCATGGGGCTGTGGTAGGGAGGATTACAAATGAATCCCGTGGTCTGTTGACAAAGGGCGGCCTGATGGCCTGTTCTGAGAATCTGGTTCTGAATGAATAAGCTACCACACTGCAAATGGTCCGTGAAATACAGAACCCCACTCAGAGAAAAGCCCAGCAGAAGTCCTCAGCGCTCCCTTCAGTAAGCTCTACGGCACTCATATGACCCCCACGCCATGCTCCCGTCTTCTTTGGTCCACGAAGAGGGGTCCTGAAGGGAAGGGGCGTCTACCCCCTCCTCTGGGGCGAGGGGCACCACCTTGTGCGGTAGATCATTGGACATGGTCATGAAAGGGGTGAAGGGATACGGGGGTGGGGTGGGGTACCCCGGCACATGATACAGATCCTCTAGGGCATGCAGGGAGTAGGACTGAGCCCCAGCTAGGGGGGCCCCCCAGCTGGAGCTCCTGTGCTGAGTGCTGGTCCCAGACTCCAGCTGGGAGAGACATCCTGTGCTGGGCGGGAAGGTCTGCGGGGTATCGGCGGGCACGGGGTCTGCCTGGCTGAGACCATCGGGCACCGTTTGCTCCCATGAGTCCCTCTGAGGAGAACGGAAAGGTCACTGGGGTTAGTCATTAGATGATACTCCGACGTGGACAGATTTCCTCACCAACGCTGGCTGTGGTCACACCATGGCTTCCAGAGGGGACTTGGTGCCCCCTCTCTGCTGCTCCAGCTTCCTTACCAGGCACCTGTTCCCTCTGGTGTCTAATGCCAGCGGTGAGAGTTTTCGTTCCTTTCTTACTCTAGAATTAGATTCTCTCTATTTATTACAATTCCTTTCCCCAGAAAACACCACTAAAGGAGTGAAAGGAGGGAATAAAACAAACATTTATACAGCATTTTACCCATTATGACGTACTATGTCTTGCATTCTTTTTAAGCTTCACCCTACCCGGGGTCCTAGAATGCTGTTTCCACAGTGGGGACGCCAGCGCTGGCCGCTCCTGGGAGGAGTACGTCTCTCAACTACATGGTGGGCTTTTGCCCTCAGAGAGCCAAGAGGTAGAACTTCCATAGGCTTAGAGCTGGAAAGACTTGGGTTCACTTCATGGCTGTGCCACTTACTAACTTTCTCACTCTGAGTACCTCACTTTGTTCATCTGTAAAATGGGGCTTTAAGAATTGTATCCTGAGTCGTTGCAAGTATTAAAGGAACAAAGGCACACAGGAGTTCCTGGCTGGAGGAGGTAACTCCATAAGGTTAATTCACCCCCTTTTGTCTAAAATCCCATCTTTAGAGATTCATTCCTTTGTAGTTGAAGGCTTTACAGTATTCTGTAAGTTGGGTGTTGGTATTCTTCAGATCTTTAGGAACTCACCACTTTGTTAGGATTGAGGAAGAACAAGATTCTATAGGGTACGAAATATTGTGGGAGAGGGTGCAGGGGGACTGGGAGGTTAGGAGACACCTTGGTGGCCTGCCCTGGCAGATTACAGCCTAGTCTCGTGGGAGATGTCACTTCAGTGAGCTTTCCTTGTGTGCTGCGGGAACGATGGGGGAGCGTCTCGCAAAATGAGTTGAGTCCTAACAAAATGGATATAAACTTGCCTTAGAGTTGTCCCCTCCCAAGACCCTAGACAGACCTTGCGGGGGTCGTGGTCTGCGTGGATTTTGAGGAAGGGCCCCTCTGGGAGTGTATCCTGGGAGAACAGCCTCAGAGGTGTGCCGGGCAAGCCGGACCTGACTTCCACCTGGTTACCAAGCGCAGTGACCGGCCAGACCTCACCTTACTCCCTAAATGGGAGACCCCTGCATACTCACAAGCACGAAGTGCGTGGGGTCCCCAGGGAAGGGTGGAGGCAGGAGCGGCGGCAGGGGCGAGGCGCTGAACAGAGAGCTGGTGCTGGGGGTCAGGCCCGGCGGGGGCCGGTGGTCTGCGTAGGGCTCCGGGAAGTAGGAATCCAGGAGGGCCGGGTGGCTCTGCCCTGCGGGGGTCTCACAGGGAAAGGGCTTCGCCGGTGAGGTGCAGACGTCGTTTGCAAACTGTTTCGTGTTGTGGAAATCCGAGTCAGAGAGGAAAGATCTTCTGACACCATAGTAACCTGACGTTACCGGTGAACCTGTTGCCAAAGGAAAAACAAACTGGCAACAATCTCTCCATGGGAAGTCCAGGCAAATCTGTTGCAGCTGAGACCCTCCACATGGGAAACGGTCTTTTTTTTTTTTAAATTCAAATTTTCATTTAAATTCTAGCTAGTTAACATACCAGTGCAAAATTGGTGTCGGTAGTAGAATTCAGTGATTCATCACTTACATACAACACCCAGTGCTCATCATAAGTGCCTTCCATTTTTTTTTTTTTTAAGTTTATTTGTTTTAAGAAAGGGAGCGCCATCTGGGAAGGGACCGAGAGAGGGGGAGAGAGAGAATCCCAGGCAGGCTCTTTGCTGTCAGGACAGAGCCCATTGTGGGGCTCAATCTCACAAACCTTGAGATCATGACCTGAGCCGAAATCAAGAGTCAGACACTTCATCAGCTAGGCCACCAGGGTGCCCCAGAAGTACCCTCCGTAATGCCCATCACCCATCTAGCCCATCTCCCGCCCACCTCCCTCCATCAACCCTCGGTTTGTTCTCTAACGTTAAGAGTCTCTCGTGGTTTGTGTTCCTTTCTTTCCTTCCCCCCTCCAAGATGTTCATCTCTCTTGGGGAAACCATCTTTCTAACATGGGCTGAACACCAAAGCAAACATTTAAATAGAGAAATGTCTTGAAAAGCATTAAATATTGCTGCATTGCCCCTTTTAACTGGTCGAGCCCAAATAACTAATATGTTTAAAATTCATTCCGCCTTTGGAGAGGAGCTCATTGGAGACGGTGCCGTAACTTCTCATTCGCTCACTCCAAGTGCATTTACTGTGCACTTTCTGTGTTCCAGTCACTGTGCTGGGAAAAGTTTGGGCTTAAGGAGACGAGGAAAGGAATCCCTTGACGTTTACATTATACCAAATGAAGCGTCTTTTTTTTTTTTTTTTTTTTTTTTTTACAGCTTCTGAGCTCTGTCCCCATAGACTCAAGACTGCTAACAACAGGCTGCTTCTGGGTGTGTTATCCGAGATGCAGTATCTTTAGATAAGGTGATAGGATAACCCCACCCCCAAATCAGAAGTAGGCTGTATGCTGCTTCCACCTCTTTGTATACTGACCTTTTATCAGATGTCTTACACCTAGCAGGCATCAAGAAATGGCTTGCTTGCTTTGGGATGATAGAGCTTCTCTGCAACCAAAGAGGACTGCCAAAAAATGTGTTTGCTGGCTTTGACGACTCTGGTGTTATTTGCTGCCCTCTTGTGTCCATGCCGAGTCCCTGACTCAGCTCACCTGGGCCCTGGGCGAGTTTGGGAAGGGAATACCTCCCACAGAAAGCTTCCCTTAGTGAAACCAGGGGAACCAGATGAACCTGAGAAGAGTCTCGTTTACGGCAGGGCCAGTGAAATTGTCCCGTAAGGAAAACGAGGTGTTCGCTAAAGACTTTCAGACCCAGTGGCTCCGCTGTAGCAGGAAACACATTAGCATTTAGAACATGTTCCGGGAGGTAGACGCAAGCTCTGTACAAGTGATGGTTTAATTACTCCAGCTGGTGGTGGATGTGGTCTAATTAGCTAAGATCTGCGCCCTGAGGTCACAAAAGGGCTGAGCTGGTCTTTCTTCCCTTCCCTCGGCCAGAGTAGGAGCTCTGTCCCACCCACTCTCTACTTATCCTCCCCAGAGGTCATACCCCTTTGTTATCGTGACACAGTCATCCATTACTCCACCGACACAGGACTTTGGCCCTTGACACGAGGTGTGGAACTTTATAGTATGCTCACTACTCCCTCAGCTGAGTTGCAGCCCTCTTTCTAATCTACCTGACAGCTCCACGGGGGTCAGGGCTTATGTCTTATATTTTGCTGTAAATCCAGCAGCATAACACCGTGTTCAACAATTATATGCAAATTTATTCATTCATTCGGAGGATATCAAAATTCCCCGTAGAAACTTACAGCAGATTCTACTCCTTCTACTGTCATCTGAAATTCTATAGCCGCAGACTTCTAATCTGCTCATGAATTTGAAAGCTGCAGTCAGGGGTTTCATCATAAGCATACTTCCACAGGGGGAAAAAAAAATATGTGCAAGTGAAAATTAAGATCAATAAAGAAAATTCTGTTTCATGCCATGAATTTGTATCCACGGGAGTGACTGAAGCTGAGGGGAGAATGAAGTCTTCTAGGATCTCATGTCAATATTCCCAGTTTCCAAATAAAAATAACCATGAAGAAAAGAAAGAAAGGAAAAAAAAAAAAAACAACACAAACCCTTGTGCTTTCTTAAGTGTATATTTTTCTCCTTAAAAAGAGGAGGAATAGTTCTGGAAAGTACGGGAAGCTGCAAAAATTTCCTTCTATAGGAGGGAGCAGATGTAGCCAGATTCCAGGGATGATAAACATGTTTGGGAAACACAACGTACAGACATTCAGATATGCGGGGTCTCCTTTTGGCCCTTATTCCTTTTCCTGTCCAGCTGCGAAGCTTCCTAAAATCATTTGAGAAGGCCTATGCCATCTCCGAGTTTGGGCTCTGAAAGGAGTGTGTGTTAGTGTGCACATGCGTGTGCACGTGTGCATAGGCATCCCCAACACTTTTGCTAAGAATCAGAATGCCCCTTTCCCACCTCTGCAGGAGCACTGAAGGACACATATGTATTGAAATGAATACCAAACGCTTAAGGTGCCTGATGTACAGAGAGCCCTCCATAAATGGTAGTTTCTTCACCTGCCTTTCTGTTTCAAAGCAGGCGCATAATCTCTCGGATCATGGTCCCAGAATTGTGCACATTTTAAAACCGTATCGAGGGCCTGTTACTGCTTTCGCTCACTAAGCTTCTGGGAGGCCAGGGATGGAAAGGCCACCTTCAAGACGGAATGAATTCCAAACTCAGGAATGATTGAATTAGGTCTGTCTTCGCTGATTTTCTATTTTAAAAATAACTTGTTTGAAAAAGTAAAACTTCGGAGGTGCTGTAAGGCAGTTCTAAAAGAATGGAAACCCCAATGCCGGACTGAAACTCAAAAGAGAATTAAGTAACTGCTCGTTGAGCTTCAGCACTCACCTGGCATCTGGGCAAACGGAGACGGGGAGTTGCTGACTCTGCTCTGGAAGGCAAAGAGAGTGTTAGTGTTTTCTTTAGTTCCGAGTTCAAATTAAAAAAAAAAAAGAAAAGATTAGGGATACATTTGATAAGGTTTATATCCTGACACTAAGAAACATTACTTGGGGGGTGAACTGGGAGGGCAACCTAGGTTAAGAATTCAAGTATCAGCGGGGCGCCTGGGTGGCTCAGTCGGTTAAGAGTCCCTCAGACTTCAGCTCAGGTCACTGTCTCATGGTTCGTGGGTTAGACCCCTGCATCAGGCTCTGTGCATCAGGCTCTGTGCTGACAGCTCACAGCCTGGAGTCTGCTTCACATTCTGCATCTCCCTCTGTCTCTGCCCCTCCCCTGGTCATGCTCTGTCTCTCTCTCTCTCTCTCTCTCTCTCTCTCAAAACTGAATAAACATTAAAAAAAATAAAAACTTCAAGTGTCAGAGTACAAAGTTTTATGAGGGACAGAGTTAGAAACCAAAGTTCGATTCTAGTAAACATGCCGAAAAGCTCAGGCTGGATGAAATGGAATAATTTGTACTTCATTTTTTTTTACTGTTTGTGGTAATATCAAATATATACCATGTGCTTTAAATACACACATACGTATGTTTGGCATTTGGCTTCAGCACCGAGTGGTCACTGTTTTAGGGTCTGCCTTTATGCAGAATCAAAGCTCCAGCCAGAGTAGGGACCTTGACTGTGGCTTGTGCTCAGTGCCCAGAACAGAATGTGGTTCATAGTAGACACAATAAAACTGTGTGGAATAAAGATACAGTCCTCAAAGAGCCCATGGTCTAGTGATCATGGGAGGTTGGGGGATGTTGTCTGTTTGGTTATGTCCCCTCAGAAGATGTATGGGAGTCCTAACCCCAGTACCTGTGAATGTGACCTGATTTGGAAATAGGGCCTTTGAAGACACAACTCGTTAAAGTAAGGGGAGGTCATACTGAATGAGGGCGGGCCCTAAATCCAGCGTGACCGGTGTCCGTATAAAAAGAGGAGAGAGAAACACAGAGACACAGACACAGAGGGGAGAAGGACACGTGAAGACAGAAAGTAGAAGTTTGAGTGATACAACGTCAGGCTGAGGACCACCGAGGACTGTGGGCCGGCAACAACCAGCAGCTGGAAGAGGCAGGGAGGTGTGCTTCCCTAGATCCTTCAGAGGGAGTCTGGCCCTGCCGACACCTTGATTTTGGACTTCTAGTCTCAGAGCTGTGAGACAGTACATTTCTGGTATTTTAAGCCACTCCGTTTGTAGTTAATCTGTTACTGCGTCCTGGGAAGCTAACGCAGAGAGTGACAAAGAAACAGACAACTCAGTGGAGTGTGTGAGAAGTGGCATGGTCGGGGAAAGGTGGAGTGAGGGGGGCACCAAAGCTCGTATTGGGGATGGGGTGAGGAGCACATCCTGGGGCAGGTGATACCTAAGCTGACCTCTGAAGGAAGTGTATCCGGGGGTGCAGAGTCTTAAAATACACAACTGCAAATTCTGGCTCCACGATGCTCCCCAACAAAGTTGTGTAGGGAAAAAAATAGCTGTTGCAAAAGTTGAGAGTCCTCAGCATCTAGTTCTTTGGACCTGAGCTCTTAGCCTGGCGCTCAAGGTGCTGCAGACCCTCGCAAGTTGGAAGACTTTATGGAGAGCCTCGTGCAAGCACCCACTCAATGCCAAGGTCCTGTCCATGTTATTAACGCTGAGTGCGTTGAGCTCCGAGGGATGGAGAGCCCAACACCCTCTGTGAAAGCCCATTTCTTCTCTGGGCACTTTTGACTGTCTCAAAGCAGGCAGAAGAGAATCATTTTCTTATTTCTCATCTTTTTGGTCCATATACAATAAGTTTGACCCTTCTTCCATATGTGGCTCTCCAAATACTCAGAGACAATCCATCATTTCCCCAAGGTCTTAATCAGTTTGCGCTTCTCTACCAGCAAATACCATGGACTGGGGTGGCTTAAACAGGAAACATTTCTCCCAGCTCGGAGGCTGGAAGGGTGCCCACGTGATCAGGTTCTTGGTGGGGAGACCTCTCTTCTTGAGTGGTTTGAGTATGGCCCTCTTCTCACTGTGTCTTCATGTGGCAGAAAGAGAGATCATCTCTCTCATGTGTCTCTTCCACGAGGGCACTAATCCCAATCACAAGGGCTCCACGTTCATAACCCAATCAGCTCCCAAAGGCCCCATTTCCGAACACAATCACATGGCGGGGCCAGGGCTTTAACATATGAATTCTGAGGAGTCGACGAACATTCGGTTCATAGCACCAAACTGGAATTCAACGTCGTCCAAGCCAAAGTGTTCTCCGCCCATTCAGAAGTAGCACAAGTTAATTTGAGCGAAGACGACTCTGGACCCAGAGTGTATGTGTTTGAATCCCAGCTCTGCCTCTTATTAGCTGTGTGATCTTGGGTACGTGGACATCAAATTGTATCACACCTGCACGTAGGTATGCACATATAATTCAAGCACATAGAATAGCTCCTGGCATCGAGTGAGCAGGAAATGAGTGCCAGTTACATAGTGCTTATCACTCACATGCGCTCTTATGCCCCTTCAAATCTATGGCAAGTTCCTCTAAACATGCTCTGATTTATGTGTCTTCCTGTTCAATAAGTTAACACTTTTAAGTGGCAGAAGGGAACCACGGGCAGGCAGGGCCAGGGGCGCCTACATCTCTATGGGAAGCAAAGGAAGAAGCAGTGATTAAGCACAGAAGCACTTGTGTTTGGGCACAATTTCCCATGTTGCGGGGCCCATCTTATCCTGGGGTTCCTCCGAGTCCCAGCTCTGTGTGGCTGGGTGTTTTCTCGAAGGCGGGCACCAAGGCCTACACCCTCTGGCTTCTGCGTCCGCCTCCTTCCGGGTGTCTGTGGGCTGTGTCCTGAATGCCGGCCAGGGGAGATGTCCTGCTCCCCTTCTCCCGCCTTTTCTCCCTGCCTGCTACCCTTAAGCCACTCTGGCCAAGGCTGGGCCAGGCCGAAGGCTTCTGTGAGACGCGGACACAGGCCCAACCTGACGGACGAAAGTGTCAGCTCCCTATTCGGCTCTCCCACGGCTCTTCGTCCAAGCCTCTTCCCCAAGGCGTGGATAAGGCCCAGTCTACGCCCTACACATCTCTGCTGTGAAAGCTTTCCTGTCATTCACCTGTGCCACGAGCCAGTCCCGGGGGGATCTCCTCACACCCCTTCTCCTTCTGCCCAGGCCCCCTCATTCCCGTGGAACTGGAGCGCTGTACCCTCCCCCAACCCAGATTCAATACCCAAAGACCCTACAGCAGTTTCCCAGTTACGGGTCTCATTGATTTTATTTATGATTTGGTGAAAAGAAGCCTCTTGTGTTCATTTCTCCTACACAGTTTTGCTTTCTACCTGCTGTGGAAATTACCAGTGTGTTTTCATTGTTTATGGTTACCCACAAAATTTTACCTTGTGTATTTAACAAAGACTACGGTCGATACCTGAAAACTCCCACTGACAAAGCCCTCGGAACATTAGCTCTCACTAGGCCTCTCCCTAATTTACGTGACTGTGCTATTTTCTGGCATTTTAGGTTGTTTCTTTATATTGCATCTTTCCAATTAGACATCATAATTATCATCATTTTTTAAAAAGTTTACTTATTTATTTTGAGAGAGAGAGACAGAGAGAGTGAGCGGGGGAGGGACAGAGCTAGAGGGAGAGAGAGAATCCCACGCAGGCTCGGAGATATCAGTGCAGAGCCTGACTTGCGGCTCGATTCCCTGACTGTGACATCATGACCTGAGCTGAAATCAAGAGTCAGACGCTTCACCGACTGAGCCACCCAGGCTCCCCATCATCATTTTATTAAGTAAATCTGTATTAGATTTACTTATGTATTCACTATTTTCTTTGCTTACTCTTCCTCCAGACTATTTTTTTTTTTAGGATTCATTTTCCTCCTTCTGGAGTAATCGTTCAGGGGCACCTGGGTAAAGCCTGTTTGAGATGCTCTCTCCCTTCCTCTCTGCCCCTCACCCCCTCTCTCTAAAAAGTAATCCTTCAGAAAATTCCTTTCCTGTAGGTGATGTTGGTGGTAAAATGCTTCAGTTTTTATTTACCCTGAAAATATCATTTCTTTTTCTCTTGTACTTAAAAGGGAACATTGCCAGGTTCACAAATGTAACTTTATAGTTCTTCCTGTCTCACCACTTCAAAGATGTCACCCCACTGTCTCAGCTTCCATGATTGCTCTTGACCTTATAGTTATTCTTTAGACAATTTTTCTTTCCTTTTTGCTTTTTAAAAAGAAATTATTGTGGAAGTATAGTTGAATACAATGTTACATTGGCTTCAGGTGTACAAATGTAGGGGTTTGTCAATTCTACACATTACTCAGTGCTTACCCACGGTAAGTGGAGGTGCCCTCTGTCACCATACAATGTTACTCTAATATTATTGACTATGTTTCTTGGGCTGTACTTTTTTTTCATCCCTATGACATTCATTTTATAACTGGAAGTTTGGACCTCTTATTCCCTTCACCTATTTCACCCATCCCCTCCCCCCATATATATATATATGTTGAAAGACTTGGACTGCTTCCAAGACACTTGGACTGCTTCCATAAGTTGGCTATTGTAAATAATGTTGCAAGAAACGTAAGGGTGCATATATCTTTTTGAATTAGTGTTTTTGTTTTTTTTGGGTAAATACCCAGTCATGGAATTACTGGATCATATGGTATTTCTATTTTTAACTTTTTGAGGAACCCCCATACTGTCTTTCACAGTGGCTGTACCACCTTGCATTCCCACCAACGGTGCACAAGGGTTCCCTTTTTCTCCACATCCCCCCAACAATTGTTTCTTGTGTTTTTGATTGTAGCCATTCTGACAGGTGTGAGGTGATATCTCATTGGGGTTTTGATTTGCATTTCCCTGATGATGAGTGATGTTAAGCATCTTTTCAGGTGTCTATTGGCCATCTGGATGTCTTCTCTGGAAAAAAAAATCTCTTTAGGTATTCTGCCAATTTTTAAAGTCTCTGCT